AGCATCTTTCATGCTCCAGGACCAACTAAGCCCCTTCCTCACTCCACTCACCCCAACACAATCCGGAGATGAAGATTAATCATGTGTATTAGAAAGCATGAACTCTGAGTCCATTAAAAACAATCAGGCTGGGTGGTGGTGCCTGTCTGATAGGTGGGCAGATCTCTGTGAGCCAGCCTGGGCTACAGAGTAGGCTGCAGGAGTGTCAGGGAATCAGGGCAACAAGAGAAACCCTGTTTAGAAAATCCAAAAACCAAAACAGAAGAAAGAAAAAGAAAGAGAAATAAAGAGAAAAGTTTCTGAGTCTTTTTTTTTTTACTTCCTGAAAGAATTTCTGTTATTGAAGCACTTTTTCTTGTTTCCTGAGCTAGTAGTCAGTGAGTATGGTTCCAATAGTCCATGAGCACAAAAGGCACAATTTTCTCTCTGTAGTCAACTCCTACAGACTCTTGATGGTTTAATTGTCACTGGTGCTCACACAGCCTGGTCTCCCTGGAGTAAACATCTGTCAACAGAGCTACTGAGTTAGTGGACCCTGTTTCTCACTGCAGTATCCATTTTTGCCTTTATAACAAAATAAACTTGGCTCAGTCATTTAGGGTTTTTATTTGTTTGTTTGTTTGTTTTTGTTTTGTTGAAACAAGTTTTCTGTACATACCCTGGCGATCCTGAACTTCTGTCTGAAGACCATGTGGGCCTTGAACTCACAGAGATCCCCTTGTTTCTCTGTCCAGAGCAGTGCTGGGATTAAAGGCATTTGTCACCTTGGCAAGCTAGGTTCAATAGTGTATAAAGAAAGTGAATTTGCTTTTATACCAGTTTTGGAAGTTCAAGGACATGGTGCTAAGACAGACAGCCTCACTGATACTCAGTTGTTTTAGAATCAGTTCAGATTTCTCATGCCTGTGGTGATATTTCATTTGTGCTGAAATTTGCTGATATTTTATTTGTATGTTAATAAATAAAGTTTGCCTTGAGATCAAAAGGAATAGCAAGCCATTTTAAGGAAAACACAGAAGTCAGGCGGTGGTAGCACAAGCCCTTAATCTGATCACTTGTCAGACAGGTTCTCTGTGTGTTCAAGGACACACTAGGAAACAGCAAAGGGTGGTGACACACGCCTTTAATCCCAGCACTTGGGAAGCAGAGCCTGGAGGATCTCTGTGACTTAGAGGCCAGCCTGGTCTACAGAGGGAGTTCCAGGGCAGGCAACAAAATTACAGAGAGATACCCTGTCTCCAAAAACAAAAACAAACAAACAAACAAAACAAAAACAAACGAAACTCATTATTTTCTATTAAAAAAAGAAGAAGAAAGAAAGAAAGAAAGACTCTCCACAGCAGCCCTGTATGGCCATTTGTGGCTTTCTCCACTCTTTATCCTGTGATCTCTCACTCAGGAAGAATTCAGGAATGTTGGATTCTGGGAAATGTAGGCAAAACAGATAATGGTTTACTCTGGAACATTGCTTTTAAAGAAAATTTTGGGTTAGATGGAACTGTGTGTTAGATATAAGAGAGTAATTTTATATGATGTGCTTCATTGCTGCCAGAAATTTCGCTTTTACCTGGGTGTTTGTTTGTTTGTTTGTTTGTTTTGAGACAGGGTCTTTCCATGAAACCCTGCCTGTCCTGGAACTCCTCTGTAGACAAGATTGGCCTCTAACTCAGAGATCAGCCCAAGGTCTGTCTCCTGAGAGCTGGTTTAAAGGTATGGGCCACCATGCTTGGCTGTATTTTATTTTTTGAGAAAAAATATTTGCATATATTTGCTCAGCAGTGGTGGTGTATTTTTTTTAATATTATTGGATTTTGAAATTTTGATCACTAACCTTCATTTAAATGTTTCAGTTATTAGTTAGTTAGTTTATTCAAGACAGGGTTTCTCTGAGTAGTCCTGTCTATTCTGGAACTCACTCTGTAGACCTGGTTGGCTTGGAACTCAGATATCCACCTGCCTCTTCCTTCAGAGTGCTGGCATTAAAGGTGTGCTCCACCACTGCCCAGCATCCTTCCTTTATGATTTGTGTGTGTTACTTATGATGTGCATGTGAATGCAGGCATGCTAGAGCCACAGCCTCTTGTAGGGGTCAGGGGAAAACCACCAAGAGTCAGTACTCCTTCCACCATTGGAGTAGAAGAATCAATCTCACATTCTAAAGCTGTGGGTAAGGTTTTTTGTTTGTTTAGTCATTTCAACTTTGGAGCATTTTTATATTCATACATACATACATACATACATACATACATAATACATACATACATACATACATACATACATACATACATACATTGCCCACTGTTTATTTTCTTGAGAATCTCCATGACCCCCTTACTCCTAGGTACTCTCACTGGTACAGAAGCCAAGATGCAAAGCTAGTGTACCCAGCCAGAGCAACCGAATCCGGAGAGGTTGCAATAGTTCTCCTCTAGGTGGCA